TTTCACTGGACGAGAGACTCTCTAAGAGGATCAACTTCAGCAGCGCTACGACGCTGAAGGCTTCCAGCGCACTATCGAGTCCGAGGTCGAGAGGAAGACCGGAAAGACTTCTGCCCACCAGGGGGCAAGCCCATGACGATCTTCTTGGACGACATGAGCATGCCACTGGTGAACCAGTGGGGTGACCAGGTCACTCTTGAGCTTACTAGACAGCTTGTGGACATGGGCGGCTTCTATTTCCTCGACAAGGATAAGCGTGGTGACTTTAAGACGATCGAGAAGCTCAGCTACATTGGCGCTATGGGCCATCCAGGAGGTGGTAGGAATGACATACCTAATCGGACCAAGAGCAAGTTTTTCGCCTTCAACATGGTCTTGCCGAGTGTAGTCAGTGTTGACAACATTTACGGCAGTATCCTGAGGGCTCGATTCAATAGCAAATCTGGAGCTCCAGATAAGGTTGTGGCGATGACCGAGAAGCTTACAGTGGCGACCATCGATGTTTGGGACAAGATCAAACGTTCCCTTTTGCCCACACCGCAAAGATTCCACTATGTCTTCAACATGCGTGAGCTCTCGCGTGTCTTCCAAGGAGTCATGGATACTCCTCTGGAGGTCATCACTGATGAGAGCGTGCTGGTCTGCCTGTGGAAACACGAGTGCACTCGAGTCTTTGCTGATAAGTTGGCGAGGACTGTGGATAAAGAGTTCGTGGATAAGGTCATCAATGACTTCACCCTTCAACACTTCGGAGAGAAGCTTGCTACTGAGCATGCAGTTACCACTTGGTGGGCTGATTTCCTGAGGGATGTAAGCCGGGGCGTTATGTCGTTTGGATATTGCCATCGTCGTTGCAGTCGACCATAGGCATCGTTGTGTAGCACTTTCGTTTCTGGTCGAAGTTGATCTTTGGAAGACTGAGTTGCCTAAATTGAATTGTTTCAGGCTCCGGAAAGCGAGGATGAGGAATTGGATGCCCCCAAGATTTACGAGCCGATCGGTGCCAACTTTGATAGAGTGCGATCGAAGGCTTATGAATATCTTAAGAAGTTCAACGACGCCTACCCTGCGAAGTCCATGAATCTTGTCCTGTTCGACGACGCTATGTGCCACATGATGAGAATAGTGCGTACCATTCAGCAGAAGCGCGGAAGCGCCATGCTTGTCGGTGTCGGAGGCAGTGGCAAACAGTCACTTACTAGACTTAGTAGTTTCACGTGTAATCAAAAGTGCTTCCAGATCGCTCTTACGAAGAACTACAACGACAACGCTCTATTTGACGATCTTCGTGGGCTCTATCAGGACGCTGGACAGAAGGGGACTCCCGTGACGTTCCTGTTTACTGATGCAGAGATCAAGAACGAGGGGTTCTTGGAGTATATGAACAGCATCCTAGCAACGGGCGAGATCGCAGGCCTCTTCCAGAAGGATGAGAGGGACAGTATGTGTGCTGATGTCCGCAACGACTTCGTCAAGGAGCGACCGGGTGCTGATGAAAACATGATCAACCTGTACGGCTACTTCCTGGACCGGCTTCGAGACAACCTCCATGTCGTTCTCTGCTTCTCGCCGGTCAACGCGAAGTTCCCCATCAGAGCACAGAAGTTCCCAGCGGTCTTCTCGGCTGTTAACATCAATTGGTTCCTCCCATGGCCGGAGGAGGCACTCGTGGCTGTCAGCTCCACATTCCTAAGAAGTTATGAAGTGGACACCCCGCCGGACAGGAAGGAGGCGCTGTATCAGCTCCTTGGCAGCTACCAGGTAAGCGGGTTGCCGAAGGGATGCTGATCGGGATGGGTCCTTCTCAGAATCTCGTGGGACAAGTCTGCGACCTATATTTCCAGAGCATGCGGCGACATGTCTATGTCACACCAAAGAGTTATCTGTGCTTGATCGATTTCTACAAGCAGCTGTATAAGGTGAAGTACGACGAAGTGAACATTTTGGAGAAAAGCGTCAACACTGGTATTTTTCAAGAGTTTATTGATCAGCTATATAAAACAATGATGGCCATCAGGTCTGAAGAAACTCAATGAGGCTGCGGAAGATGTGGAGACGATGAAGGTCGCCTTGAGGGAGGAAGAGAAGAATCTCAAGGTGGGTTAGATGGGATTTTGGGGAGGAATAGCGATAGTCTTTGTTGTCAGGTTGCCGAAGAACAGACCAATAAGCTTCTGGTGAAGGTTCAGAGTGAGACAGTGAAGGCGGAGGCAAAGGCAGCAGAAGTGGGCGCAAAGAAGGATGACTGCCTCCAGTCGAAGGCCATCATCGAAAGTAACACTATCGTCATTCATGGCGTTTGTTGTTGAGTACATGTGTGATGGCATAGGCATTTTCATCGGAGAGAAAATATTTTCCATCATTTTAGGTGAACAGGAGGCCGCGAATAAGGACTTGCAAGCGGCCTTGCCCTTCCTCCACGAAGCCGAGTCGGCTGCTCGATCGATCTCTTCCAAGGACATCACAGAGTTGAAGACGTTGAAGACGCCCAGCGATATCATCCGTTTGGTCTTCGATGGTCTCCTTATTTTGCAGCAGAAGCGTGTTGTTGATGTGAGAGCTGAGGAGAAGGTAGGCTACAATGGAAGCATGGTGAACCGCGGTGATGGTCGTCAGCGGTGTAGGTGGTGAATAAGGTCAAGATAGACTTCATCCATGACTCCTATGATGAGATCGCGAAGTCGGTCCTTTCGGACATTCGCTTCTTACCGGACTTGCTTGACTTCTCTGCCAACGAGAAGGATAACATCAACGATGAGACATGCGAGTTGTTGCAGCCGTATTTGCAGTTGGAGAACTTCAACCCTGCTGTAGCAAAGAAGGCCTCTGGTAAGGTCTGCTAGGTGGCCGTATAGTTATACTGTTCATGTAGGGGCTGCGGAGGGTCTATGCAAGTGGGTGGGCGCGATGGTCATGTACCATGAGGCTGCGAAAATCGTTAAGCCAAAGATGGACTATTTGAAGGTGAGCTCTATCAGTGTCGATTGGAGGGCTTCATGATACTCACTGTTTGGTCAAGGCGATTCACGACTCAGTTTTCTGATCTGTTTTTGAATGTCTCAGTAGGCAGTTAAGCTGCAAGAATCATATATCTGCTTGCTGTCGGTCTTATTGCTGCCCCATATAGTGTGGGAAAATATGCATATGGTCAACTACATGTGTTGATGACATTATGGAAATGCTGAGGAAATTTTTAGAAATTCTTGTTGGATTCCGTACACTTTCATTCGGAACGGTATGTAAACTTCTATAATGAGTGAGGAAACTCCTAAGCTCAACCGAGGAAACCAAACGTATATTCCAACACTGGCCCCATAGGTGCAAACGGCAAAGTTGGAAGCAGCGATGACAGAGCTGGGCGAAGCCGAAGCCGAGCTTGCTGCAGCGCAGGCAGTGTTGGATGGCCTCAATGCCCAATTCCAGGAAGCCATGGATGGGAAGAATGCTCTCGAGGAGAAGGCTAATGCTACGAAGAACAAAATGGACCAGGTGGGGCTGTTGCTGTGACTTTGCCATAGTGCGATGCATAGTCTCGTTGTAGGCTAATAAACTGATCAACGGACTCGGCGGGGAGAAGAAGCGTTGGACTGAGGATGCCAACAACTTCGCAGATCGGCGTAAACGGCTGGTCGGAGATGTGGCCTTGTCCTGTGCCTTTGTGACCTTCTGTGGACCATTCAACTCGGAGTATCGAGACAAGCTCAACACAGAGTACTTCCTAGCTGATACACATCAGAGGAAGGTGAGTATCATCGTGGGGGACGACGGACGTGCTCTTTGTTCCTGCTGCGACTGGCGATGACGTAGGGCCTACTAGAAGCAGTCGAGTTTCTCATTCGGATTGATGGCGTATCAGTCTTATGTAGCAGTAGATATCGAGCGTGTAGGTGCCGGCATCCGAAAAGATGGACCTTGTGGGGTTCCTCGTTGACCAAGGAACAGTCGGAGAATGGGCTTTGGAAGGTCTGCCCAGCGATGACCTTTCCGTCCAGAACGGCATCATGGTCACTCGATCTAGCCGATATCCTCTCATGGTTGATCCACAAGGACAAGCCCTAAGGTAGTCAGATGGAGATGCTCACGAGGATGTTCTGGCTTCCGTCACAGGATCTACATTTGATGTCTTTCAGGTGGATCAAGAGTAGGGAAAGTGATCGAGTCGCCAAGGCACCAGGACAGTGTGTATCGACTCTGTCGAATCCGAGACTGAAGGACCAACTGGAGTTCACAATGGGTGAAGGACTGTGTCTGATCCTCGAGAATGTTGAAGAGGAAATCGATCCCATTCTCGATCCTGTCCTGGAGAAGGCTATCGTGAAAAAGGGCAAGAATCTGTAACCTTGGAGTAGCTATGGTGATCGATCTTGACTCGGTTGCTGCAACAGATACATAAACGTCTCGGACCAGAACATGGACTACAACCCAGCCTTTGTCCTCTATATGACTTCACGTCTACCAAACCCGCACTTCTCGCCAGAGCTGTCTGCCAAGTGTACGGTCATTGACTTCACGGTCACACTGAAAGGCTTGGAACAGCAGCTCCTTGGAAGGGTACTTGGCATGGAACAGAAGAGCCTTGAAGATAGTCTTGCGGCTCTTATGGAAGAAGTGGGGTTGCGATGGTAGGGCTGGTGATGATGTATTCGGCGTCTGTAGGTGACAAATAATACGAAGTCGTTACAGTTGTTGGACAAGCAACTGTTGGAGCGTCTATCGAATTCGAGTGGCAATCTATTGGACGATATTGAGCTCATCGAAGTGCTTGCCAATACGAAGGCCAAGGCCAAGGAGGTTGAGCAGAAGCTTATGGATGCCGAGGAAAAGAAGGTAG